AAAAAGTGGCCAACAAGCCAAGCGGAGTTTTCTCGACTTTTGAGCTAGGTGTCTAATGACTTTGTTCTTCAAAATTCAAGGTTTTCCCCCTCATGAAAACGGTAAGGTAAACTTTCTCACTATGGTAAATAGGCCTGTTATGTGTGCTGTCTCTTATACACATCTAGTATTCAAACTTGATATAGTCAAACACAATGATAAAGTAGTTTATATCTTAATTATTTTAATATATTTTTTGTTCTTTTTTTTGGCGATTTTATAATAAATAGAGTAGTACAAAAAAGTAGTTAAATACATTATTTTACTGGTATTTGGAAATACAACTGTAAGCTCTAACAAAAACCTTCTCTATTATTGCTATTATAAATGATATTATTATTATTATTATTATTATTATTATTATTATTATTATTATTATTATTATTATTTATTTATTATTATTACTACTACTACTACTATCATCACGGAGATGTAAAAAATAAAAAAGATGCTTACATCTCCCTGCTAACATTATTGTTTAGTAATTTTGTTTTTATTTATATTTCATTATTACATTATTATTATTATGTTATAATTGTTCTTATGATTCTTAACATGATCATATCGGTTATTACCGTCAACATCATTAATTTTGTTCCAGGAACTAATGTTACTAATTAAAAATATTATTATTATTATTAATATTATTATCATTATTATTATCATCATAATAATAATAATAAACTGTCGACACCGTGATGAACGCTGAGAGAGTGCATGCTAGACGAAGAACAAAGGCTCCTCAAGATAATAGGAAATAATATACTAGACTCCAAATCCAGGCGTCAGAAGGTTTATAAAGTGAAACATGAGTGACCGTCCAGTTTGGTATACTTTATATACCTGATATAGGCTAGTCATCATATATAAAGTCAAGCAGGTGAGATATGTTCTCCGTCCAGAATACTGTACTTTATGATGTGTTCATTTCTTAATATACATTTATGAACAGTCTCTAGGCCCTAGCTAGGCCTAGGCGAATAATTAAATATACTATAAAATTAGCCTAGTAGGCCTAGCCCCCTAGTGAAAAAATCCTAGCTAGGCTAGGCTAGCCTCTCTAGGCTAAGCATAGAAGAAGGCCTAGGCCTAGGCCACTTACTTACTTATTTGGGTGTGGGTATAATTGAATAGGCTATTCAGCCTCTTGAGACCCACAGTCATTTATGCCATACTGCCCAATATGGTCTCAGCATCCTTGTTCAACCAGTGTTGGTCCAGTCGCTTTTTTTAAATATAGGCCTAGTTACTGATGTTGCTTCAACAATGTTAGACGGAAGATTGTTCCAATACTTACTGATCCTGTAGCTGAAGAATTCTTTCTGATTTCTAGACCTTTGTTCATAGACGGCTTATACACCTTTTATTTTTGGCCACGAGTAATACTAGCAGGGTTGATGAAAAAAAAGTGGAGCTGTCAATATTCTCTTATTTGTAATAATTCTGAATGCTTCAATAAGGTCACCTCTTAATCTTCTAACTGCTAATGGATACAGATTCAGTTTCATTAGTCTTGTTTCATATGGATCTGATTTCATACTTTTCACTAACTTGGTAGCTCGTCTCTGTACTTTCTCTAATTTTTGAATATCTTTTTTCAAATAAGGGCACCAAGCTACTAGCTAGTATGAATATAGTACTGCTGGTAGTAGATGTAAGTAGGGTAGGCAACTGCATGGCCTAGAGCTAGGCCCAGGCTTAACCTTAGGCCGAGGTAGCCTAGTAGTAAGTAGGCAAGTCAATAATTAGAGTTACGGTAAATAATGATTGGAAAGCTTGTCAGTTGGGTTGATTGAAGCTGTGGATTACAAACAATTAATCAATTTAAATCAATGCTTGAGAAACGCTAACTGACTGACTGGCCAAATCAGCCGGCCAGAAGTTTAAACTGTGGAGAGAGACTCAGGCAGGGGTGAATATTAATAAGCATTAATGCTTTAGCTTCAAGATCAAGTACATCTCTGCACAGACTGTATGAACCCCCTACTACAAGGTAAATAAGTCTAAGGAAGACTAGGTAGGTCTACCCTAACCATTCAATCAAAAACTGTATTTACATAGTTGCCAGCTTAAAAAAAATGTGAGGAAACTTGCTTTACTACATAATGCACCACTGACTGAGGCCAGGGGGACCAAGTAGGGACCCTGGAACTTGGAAGCTCGTGCAAATTGGGCATTTTCACTACTTATTTGATTGATTTTGGACACTAAATTAAATGTTTATAAACTTAATTAAACCAAGGATGCACATACTTATGCGCATTTCACCATTAAAGTGTGTTAGTTTATGTTAATTCCCTCCGTCCCTACTGCATGAATGAATTGTGCTTTTTACCTGACAGTTGCTTAGTATAAAATTAAAACACTTTTTGACTCACTGGTGTTTTTGGTTTCAAGGTTAGGATGGATGATAGTGAACCTTCTATTCTATGTACTGTAGGCCTACCATGTGGATACAAACGAACTAACTGTGCCCGGTGGAGTACTGGGTATTGAAAATGCATACAAATGGCAGTGGCTGTAAAAGGGTGTATAAAGGGTATTTTTATTTTATTTTATTGTTATTATTTTATTGTTATTTGCTTTTTCTCAGTTGGCCTATATTATTTCTCTGTAAAGTGCATAGGGGCAATGTGCAATATGCGCTATATAAATATAACATTATTATTATTATTATTATATAATTTTTTACACACCCAATAAGTGCACTGGGCTCTTTTGTCCTATCTGTACTCTTTACTTAATACTACAGACGAATAGGCAAATGGCAAATGATTTTTTTTTTATTGCATATTACTGTATACGTTACCATTCACAATCATTATAAGGCCATGTAAAAAATGTTGGTTAGCATCCTTTTTTTTCAATAGTTCAACCAGCCAATATGGTAACTAGAATCCACATAGTTAGCAACAATCACTATTTTGGGCCCTTGTAACCATGCACGATAGAGTGAGACATCGCGTTTTGAGTAGACATACTGTAGGGCATGGCTCCTTGTTCTCACTTGTTATAAAAGCATACTTTATGATTTAAACACCCAAATTCTTTACCACATCTGACAGCATTCACTGTGAGGTGATTTTTGTAAGGTCCAACTTGCTACTGCCTGCAAGTATGTGGACAAATGCACAACGATCTTCCTCCTGTAGCGGATAATTTTTAAATAGACCATTACAAAAACTGTTCATTGAGATGAATACAGACATAAAAATTTTGCGCTGGGCTAAATATAAATTGTCTGTGAGACTCGCTGTCAATCCATTAAGTTGGCAACTATATGTTTGATATATTTTAAAGGAACTAGGTCCTACTCAACAACTAACCAACTCCCTGCAATGGCTAATGAGAATGTTAAGTTATATTTATTGGTTATAAAGTAGTCACATTCCTAAAGTTCCAGTAATTTAGACTGAGCCAACAATCCGCATTCGTTTCTTTATTATTAATATTACCATATCCTCTTCTCTTTCTGAATTCCAGTAGTATACGACTTGCATCGCAAAATCCTTTTTTAAGGGTTTATTATGTTTGTCCTCTCCAAACGTACCACTATTGTATTACACATAAAACCCGCTGGCAGTTGTCGCCAGACACATACTCTTGCCCTTGGTGATTCAGGAAGAGCCTGGAAATAATGATATAAAAATAAATACCCTATATTTGTTTGTGTTTCATGATAGTTTATTGGGAATGATTTTCATTATAGTGGTGCCCTTTATGTCTTTGCATATGGTAAAGAACAAAGAAAAAGGCCTGGCAGTTAACATGTTAAAATATCTTGAATGGATGACCTATAATCTAAATTGTCTCTCAGGATCTAAATTATCAATATCATGAAAGATCTTGTATGCTTGTACGATACCACACAAAAATTTAGGCCTATAAAAAAATCTGTCCGCGCATTAAAAAAATAAGGGTCTATTTCCACGTACATATTGCAGTAAATTAGGTCTTGATGTATTCCCTGTGCAAATATGATTTTTGAATTTATGAATTCTATTTTTATTTACAGAGACAATTGTAAATATGAGTACAGTACTGTACAGTCAATGGACAAGTTAGCAGCTGTAGGTGTGGGGGAGAAATGATGAAAGTTTTACGAGGTGGCCGCACTCTTCGATGGCTTATGATGCTTCTGGGATTAGCAATTTTTTACATCCTCTTCCAAGGTTTGATATTACGCATTCTTAGCAAGGACTCAAAGAGACGGCTGAAACTATTGGAGGAGCAGGCTGCGTTGGAATTTGCTGTGCCCAGAGGTGTTCGCGTGGAAGATAAAGAAGTCTATCGTCCTAAGTCAGTACGTGGCTTTCGTTGCCTTGATGGCTCTAAGTACATACCGTGGAAAAACATCAATGATGATTATTGTGATTGTACAACTGATGGTTCTGATGAACCGGGCACATCAGCATGTGAGAAGGGAAGGTACAGTAAAATAATCACTCATTTAACACATTGCTAAACACATCTGATGAACAGGGCTCATCAGCATGTCTGAAGGGAAGGTATAGTAATCACTCATTTAACACATCGTTCTGAAGTGGGTTTTTTTTTTTTATATGTGTTGCTCAGAAAAAGTAAAACCTATGACAAGTCCAGTCAAAGGAAAATTATTAGAAAGAGAGGGAGTACAGTAGAGTGATTGATATTGCGTTTGAAAAGATGAATATTATAGAAGTAGGGAAAATATGTGATGGAAGTTCATTCCAAAGAACAGAACTACTGGGATGAATGAGTTGGAATGACGAAGTACAGAAAGTGGGTGTAGAAACGAAGTATCTGTCAACATGTACAAAAGCTTGTGTTGGCCTAGAAGGGACGTGGGGAGAGGGGGGACAATAGAACAAATATTTAAAGAACAGTAACCAAAAAGTATAACAAATACTGAAGAACAGCGTTATTCGAAAGACTGTAAGAAACAGAAAAGTGAAGCGTCATTGATAAGGCTTATGGCTTTGGCTTGGATTTTGTCCAGACGACATAAAACAGAAGAAGGAGCTCCTCTCAAGATTATGGAACAGTATTTTAGTTGGGGGCCGCATATAAATCTATGTTCTATTCAAATCAATATTAAAGCATTGCACAGTGGTAATATTTATCTAGGAGGTCGGTGGAGCCATCAGTCTTCTAAGCGATGCATACTTGAAATGTTCAATTAATCTATATCGATCAAGCAGTCAGTATATTCTTTATTTCCACTTTTCGAAATTTATACTATATAGTAAAAGTTTAGTATTATTGTAAGCTTGTGTAGTGCAATACTCTCCATGCACTTTACATTTTTTAATATATGGCAAAAAGAACACTTTTGATGATTCTATTTAATAGAATTTTATTTTCAAATAAAAACAGTCAGCTCACTCAGTCTACCATTGATGGTCAAAGAGTCGGAGTTAAACTGTGCAAGCGTAGCACAGAGGCATTGTTGAGTATGTTTTGAGATCTTTAAGAAATTAAAATTTATAGCTATTTAAAGATGTATTGTCCCTTGCTAATGTCAAAAAATTATAAAAAATAATTTTGAAATAAACTTGTGATATTGCTATCATTTTTCGCTGTAAACTGATGGGTAGACATTTTTTAAATACACTAATTTCCATGTTCAAGTTGATAACTTTTATGTTACTTTAAAATGGGCAAGTTAATTTAAAAAAAATATTTTTATGATTTTTTTTGGTATTTAGCATGGGACAATACATCTTTAAGCATAAAGGTTGCCTTATTATTTTATTTTTATTGTACTTAATTATAAATTAAAATTTTTTTTCTTGTCAGGTTTTTCTGCATAGGAAATGGAGAATATATTGTAGCGAGCAGAGTGAATGATGGGATATGCGATTGTTGTGATGGTACTGATGAATGGGATAGGCCGTTCAGCCTTAACAAGGTCAAAGGTTAGTATCAGGCATGATATATTTAAATCAGTCTATCCCAGGTGTTTTTGTTTCCATATAATTCCATATGCAATATATGGTTGTCTTTTATTTTTTCATTTCTTACATTGGTACTGCATAGAATCACATGGTGTGTTCTTGTACAAGAATAATAATTCAATATTTTATTAAAAAACAGCAATTTACAGTAAAACATACAGATGTTTGTTTACTTTCTCATTCAGAGCAGTTGTTGCAGTGGTTGAGTGTCCTGCAATATGTTGTTGTCCTTTTTTATTTTTTCATATTTTTCATTGGTACTACATACTGTAGAATCACATAATGTGTTCTTGTACGAGAATAACAATTCAATATTTTGTTAACAAACAGCAACTTACAGTAAAACATATATAAAACATATACATGTTTGTTTACTTTGTAATTCAGAGCAGTTGTTGCATTGGTTGAGTGTCAGTCTCTCAATCTTGAGGCTTGAACTTTTGGTGTAAATTTTTTGCTTGTGTCGTTGGGCAAGGCACTTTACATACGTTTGTCTCTCCAACGAGGGGTATAAATGGGTACCTGGTAGGATGGCTTGGCATTGAATGGTTTAGTCTGTATCAGCATTAAATTGCAAGCACAACTAGGAATACTCCTTGAGGAGTCTTAAATGTTACCACATGTGTTTGTTTGATTATGAATCCAATGACCTGGGGCAATAATAATAATAACAACATGGTTAGTGCCCAGCATCCCTTGGCAAAATGTGCGGTATAAATCCCTATTATTATTATGGTTAATAATGATACTGTATTTTAAATATACATTACTTTTTTTTTTCAAAAAAGGAAATCCTGTTGTTGAAGGTTTAGAAATTTCACCCTGTAGGAATTTTTGTAAAGACTTGATTGATCACAAGTATGTGAATGCTCAACAGAGACTTGGTCTGCGACTCAAGAGGAAATACATTCTGGCTGGGAAAGAACACACAAATGGCGTATGTTTATACTTTAATTTGAATGCATGAATAACAACTTTTTTTTCCCTATATTTATAGAGCGACTCTCTAATACTTTAATATAAACGGATAAGAATAACAACTTTTTTGTTGACTGTATTTATAGAGTGACTCTCCTTCCAGATTATCTGATATGCAGGGGACATCTTAAGTAAATGAAAATGAAATAATAATAAGTAATATGTTTTATGAAGGAAGTCCCATGATGGGGCTTAGGAAGTGGAGATGTTGTTTTACTCGTGAGATAAAATTATGTGCTGTCATAGGGTTTGCAGCTAGGAGTCTGACCCTGGGATATTTTAGGATTTCTTCCTAAAGATTTTATTTTGAGTTGAATAGTCGAGCAGTAAAGCAAGTGTGTTGCTACCTATCATAGCCTTAATATCATTGGCTTATGTTTTAATATCTCTCCTCCCAATGTGGATTTCAGTTGCTGGACTCAAGTCTTCTGAGATAAGAATTCTAAACCATAGGACAGTGTACACAGTTGGCTCCTGGTTAACTTCAAAGAACCCAGTACTGTACATCCTCTGAAAAGAGTATTAAAGGGTACCCAGATATTACTGTACAAGGTCCCCTGCGATATCTTGAAAATTTTTATGTGGATTTGCTTTCACACTACACAAACCTGGTTATAGCATGTTAATAATTGTTAATATTTGAATAATAGTGACAGTGTGAAAAAGGTATTTATATGTTAAATAGAGCATCAGTTCATCCTTTAAACTTGGGATGGGCATTGTAAGATATAAAAAAAAAATATTGTATTGAATATTTTATTTAATTTTTTTTTTTGACAGTTAAATTTTTTATAACTGGCTACAGTAGTACAATTCTTAAATGAAATATTATAGCAGATTAATTAACACTTCTCAGTGTTGTAAATAATTAATTTTATTATTAATTTGTCTGCTATAGTTATATATTTTATTATGTGTAACTTTTTGAGCTGATATTTATCTCTATTATTGTAGCTATTAACAAAGGTATTTAATTGCCTATTACAGATTTATGGAAAAGAAGGAGAATTCTACAAGTTGAGTAAAGAATGCTTCCAGTATAGTACTGCTAAGAGCAAGTATGTGGTGTGCCCATACAGATATGTGAGGGAGGATAATGGACAGTTCTTTTATAACATGGGTCGTAGGACCGTATTCGAGGGAAAGAAGAAAGATGGAACTAATGTCATTATGATGGTGAATGGTGATTCCCGGCATTGTCCTGGAGAAATACAAAGGAAGACGCAAGTAAGAAAGTCATGTATATTTTAAAGCATTTCATATTTTCTTCCGGTACACCAAACAGATAGTTCTGAAAAGAACTGCTGTTGTTGGTTGAGAATATCTTGATGTTTCGATTGAGCTTCAATTATCTTCATTATTCTCGAACTTCTCCCAACATTGATGTCAGTGGTTCAAAACTCTCACTGTGCAAGTCATTTATGTCCTTGAGCAAGGCAGTTTATCTACGTTTGTCTCTCTTCCCATTCCCAGGAGTATAAATGGGTACCTGGTAATATATTGTGGCATGAAATGTACTAGTTTCTTCGGCCGAGTACACACACACGACTAGGTATACTCCTTAGGAGCAGAGAAGATTGAACTTTATGCTTGTCTGCCGTTGTATATTATCCAGTGACTCAGCGCTTTTGATAATTGATTTGGAATTAAATCTAAAAATCTTATCGGAATCAATAATTGACGAGGTCTCCAAAGAGGATTCACATCCATAGTGTAAAGTAGAAGTGAAAAGTAAATTGATGACATGATTGACATTAGGCGTTCTATCCACTTCTAACAAATGTCCAAAAGAAGTTCAATAGAAGAAATATGTACTATATATGTAAAGACCTCTTTTTTTCCTTCATAGGTAGAATATATATGCGGACTCAATGATCATGTAATCAATATTCATGAGGAAAGACCATGTATTTACACCTTACGATTCAGTACTCCTGCTGGCTGTTAGAGACTCCCAACAATGGTGCGAGGAATATGTGAACAAGCATGTTTTTACATGATTCAGTACTACATCATCAATGGACCAAGTGAGGAATATTTCATGAAGAACAAGAACTTTGACCTGTATTGGGAAGGAAGACCTTTCCTTTTTACCACCAGAGTCAAAGTTCATATTACTGTACTGTAACAACCAGTTAAATGCGCCCAGCACAATATTACTTCTTTTCGTATCGTGCCAGTTTATCTTATGTACTTTATGCTGTGCACATTTTTGGTCAGTGTGATTGCATCTCTCTCTATCCAAATACTGTATAGCATGAACGCTGAATATGGATTATTGTATAAAGAATTTAGCACCAAGGGCTTGACATGAATCTGATAACTGACAACATTCCCAAGTGGAACTGTATAAGCAGTCACAGAAGAAATTCACTGTATGTGATGTCACTGTAAAGTGATGTCATATACATTATGTACCAACGTTTAGATATAGTGACATACTCATTTTAAAAATCATAGTGACATACTCATTTTAAAAATCATAGTGACATACTCATTTAAAAAATCATAGTGACATACTCATTTTAAAAATCTTGCTACCTTGAGTAGCACAAAGTTTTTCTATTTTTGGATCTAAAATTCTATTAATAATGTGCATTTCCATTCAAACATACAAAGTACCCATGTATATGCTTAAGTGGAAAGGCGCAACCTTGATAAAGAAAACAAGGAAGTGGTCAGATTAAAATCCTTTGGATTGCAAGCCCATAGATAACATGGTCGTCCTATATCCCCCACGGGCGTAGGCTGGGTGATGAGAGGGGCGCAACCCCCATAATGGCAAATTAGTTTTACTAAGTGGGTTAGAATACTAAATGTGACCATTATGTTTTCATTGGAATAGGGATTTAGTTTTACATTCTCAATTTTCATACCCACCCCCACAGGTGGTTTTGCTTTTGTTGAGAATATACAAGTAATAGCAGCTGGTGGTTTGGTGCCATTGAAAATGAAACCACTTTAAACAAATGTTTCTGTATTGTTAAACACTTTTTTTTATATATATATAATATTTTAAGTGTGGTCATGTGTGAATCTGTATCAATTTTTATACAGGTCTCCCTATAATTAATGATCCCTCTAATTAACAATCCCTCCAATTATAGATAGACCACTTTTCTTTGGTTCCAAATTAACAAAGGTCTTTTATATTTATTATTCTAATTAGTCACCAAAGCTGCTAAAGATCATGGAACCACGGTCCCAAAAGTGGTCTTTAATTGGTGGGAGACCTGTATACAATTGTAATAAGAATTTGGATTTGCTTAATTAACAGTCTTAGCCTTATTGCCAATAAATTTCTGTTTCTTGCCACTTCCTCTGAAAAAGATAAACTAATACCGGAGATGAGCGACCACAATTATATCATTATGATGATTGTAAGTTAGTCACATCATTTTAAGCACAAAATCAACGTTATGCTAGTGTGGTAATTGACATTGGAAAATAATTTAGTACATTAAGCTGTAAATCAAAGTTCATGAAAATATGCATTTTGGGTATGTGTTTAATTTGCTGTAAGCGATGTGGTTTTTACTGGGCCAGTTGAGTAAAGAAATTAGGGCCTACTATTTTAGGAACAGCAATTACAGTACACCTGTACGAATTACATGCAGACAGTTGGTGAGTGTGGAGTTCATTACCTGTACTCTACTGGGAAGCTTTTTTATTCTGTCTTTTGTATACATAGTGTGAAATTCAAACATATTATTGCCTTTAAAAAAAAAATCTATATTAAGGTGTTGATAATAGTGCCTTACATTTTTAAAGAATTCATAAGATTTATTATGTGGTTTGTAAATATCATATTGATATATTTTTAATATTTTTTGTAAAGTGATGTTGAACATATTGATTTGATCTATAGTATATATGATAAACAATGTTGACTCTTTATGATTTATTATTATTAGTACATGTTCGATCAGGGCTGAAATTGTGTGATTGTATTTATCAATTAAGGTTGGTTAATTTAAAAAAATTTTTGCCATTATTTGAAATAAGGATTCTCATTTAATCTTTAATTACTGAGATAGTAGATTCCGTGCCTGCTACCCTACACATTTACATTTGGACACGTTACCTTTTCAGTTTATGTTGTTTTTAATGTTAAACATTGCGCCCATTTTAGACTCATCACATTGTCTTCCAATTTTGTAGATTTCCTAATGGCTTTGACGATCCATATATTTGTTTTTTTTCACCATAGATCTAATGAATATTTTTAGTTTAATATATTTTTTAATTTTATAATTAACATTATATGGACATTTTTTGTATGCATTTTTTTGGCTACATAAGATTAAAAATAGATTTAGTTCAGCCTACCAGTGAATTTGGAGCTTGTTTTAAGTCCAAGTTGCCATAGAATACTTGTATTTAAAACATAAAGGAAATGTGGACCGTTCACAATGTATTGATCAAATCAACTATTGTACATTTTTTCAGCAAATACCATTATTTTGAACTATCATGGTGCTTTAAATTACTTTGTATTCGTTAAAATTAGATTTAGTACATACTAACGTTTGTAAAAATATTTTGTGATATAATTATTGGAAATAAAAATCTATGGCAGTACAGTAATGATGGTGTTCTCAATTTGTTTTAAATTTGACGTGGTCCAAGATAGAACCCCAAAAAATACTGTAGTTTCCTTCAAGAGCCCATTTCTACTATTTCGTAGAGTAGAAGGTTGGATCTGGTGGATTTAGGGCATTTTTTTTTGTTTACCATAATTGTTAAGAATTATAGATTCTAAACCAAATTTGCTCATTTAAAGCCTAATGTATATTCTTCAAGTGTTTGAAATCATGTTTATTTTACTTGTTTTGCACTGGAGGTGTGTTCAATTCTCACCCGAAAATCATGCGAATTTATTTTTTCGTAAGTATTTGAGAACGTACTGAGTATTCAGTACGATATCAAGCAGACACCTATCAGATATATCTCCTCATTGATTTTGTTTAGTGTTTATTCACCTGATGTTTAAATTTTCACTATAACATTTTCCATCGGTTCATCTGATCTTAAATTATTATAATTGATTGGATTTGTTGTTTTCATATTTTTGGGCATTGCTAAATATAGGCAGCCTGCTGCCAAGAGCACAGATCTGTTTTGAAACGTGGGGAGGGGGAAATTTTGTGAGACCACACCCAAAACATTGAGGATGTATATATATAAATCATCAAAGAAAGGTAAATACAGTGTTCGAATAAAGGACTTAATAAATACATCGTGTAGCATAGCTTTCAACGAATGTAGTCCTGTAAATAAATGAATAAAGAAATTGTGTAATAAAATGCCTCTGGCGGGACTCGAACCTGCGACCTCTCGCTGTCAAGGCGAGTGTCATAACCACTAGACCACGGAGGCTTCATGGTTGAACAAATTCAAATACCAACAGATACACTCCATTACACAATAGGTACGGCTAGAAACAAATAGGTGCATATAACATAAATCAAGGTAGCCGTTAACACTGTTAAATCATATATAAATCATCAAAGAAAGGTAAATACAGTAAG